ATGTTATGCTTTGAGAGATATTCTTGGAGGCTCTGGGACATTTAGTTGTAGTAGAACAGACCAAGAAAGCTGAATATCGATCTGAGCATATTTGCGGATCAGTTTTACTCTTACATAGGGTCTGTCTTCCTGACTGGAAAACGATCTTCCAGCAGGAGTACGTCCTGGATTGGTTCGAAGAGCATAATAATGAATTACAATCAATGTCCTGGCCATTTAAGTCACCAGATTATAATCTAATAGAGAAACTTCGGGCTTTAAGATAAAGGCAGCTCAAAAATAATACTTTTATGTTGGAATATCTCGATTTTGCGAGACCACTGCTTGAATATATGGTACAATCTGTCTCCAGTCATCTACCAAGAACTTATGGCATCCATGCCAAGGCGAGTTGTAGCTGTTTTGCAGGCTAAAAGTAGTGTAACGCGTTATTGAGTAGGTGTTCATAATATTTTCGCTCGACAGTGTATATTTACTGATTATAATACTAACCAAAACAAAGCTTAGTTACATATATAACGATTGATTGTTTATTAAAATCCCACTAGAAGAAATACAACGGATGTATACAACGAACCTGTATTTTTTTAAACATTTTAATATTTGTTACAGAGGCACACATTTACACTTTAAAATCTGTAAGATTTTTGTAAGTTATATGTTAAGGAACAGCGCATGAAATATAATTGTAATTCACTATTTTTGGTTACTGAAACTTGTCTAAGAGACTATTTATCACATTTTGGGATTGAAAAAACATTATTTCAAATACAACAAAAACAGAGTTTTTTTTTGTTATAATATTTTTCTATTGAAAATGTGTCCTTGAACATAACCTGACACACACCCTCAGTCTGGACAAAAGTCTGTCCCCTACCATACAAACGTCTGTCAAATCAGCGTTTAATGCGTGGACAACATTAGTCAGCGATTTAAGCAATTTTTGAAAGAAAGACAGTAAATAGTCAGCGATTTATGTAGTTTTTGGCGGAAACATTTCTCAGCACATTATGTAGTTTTGAAGGAAATATTAGTCAATGCCATACGCAATTTTTTTTATAGATGATTTAGGATTCTGCCATTTAAGTAGTTTTTGGAATTATTGATTGAATTACATTCCGTTTTTCAACCATTGAAAGCATTTTCATTTAAAAATGAAGATTCTTATGCTTATGAGCATTAAAATTGCCATTATATGTATAACTCAACTGATGATAAAATTACCTATACAAAATATTCTGATTGTTGATTGGTATAATCATAATTGAGATTATAATTAAGATTTAGAAGGTTTCTCTCTTCAACTTATTTTGAGAACTATAAAAAATAGAACAATAGGGTATTCTTTTCTGTTTTCCCTCTTAATGAATAACAGATGCAAGATAAAGTATAACCAATGCATGGATTTTAAATTATATTCAGTAGTTAAATTTACCGTATTTTATTATGAAGAGTTTCGAATATTTTTTTTATATCAATGTGAAAACGTTAAGAGCAAAAATGAAAATAATAATCTTTAGTTATGTATCATGTGATATGTCTCATTCATTCCCCAAATAACTTCTAAATTGAATCACATATGAAAAAACTGCCTCGTTTGTGGTAGGAATTTTAATTTCGCGAATGCTTTATTATTGAAATAAAATTGACTATCCCATGCAGAAAGGAATTACACACACACACACACTACTGACCATTAAAATTGCTACACCAAGAAAGCAAATAGCAACATACGTGACATTTACAAGACAAGAGAAGATGCTAGTTGTGCAAATAATAAGCTTTTTTTCAATGCATTAATGCAAAGAAAGTGTCGATAGCGACTTCCACACGTGAATTCATGCGAATAATTGAAGTTGTACAGTAAGTACAGTTGGTACAAAAAGTATTTGCACACATACATTTTTGTTCACAATTTATAAAAAAATGCATTCAGAAATACAAAAATTAGCATTTTAAAAACAAAATAAGCTTATGCATTTAAATTAATTACAAAAAATACACAATAATATTAATAAAAACATTTTTTTGTAACAATATTAAAATATCTTATGTCAAAAAAGTATTTGCACACTCAACTCAACTTTAGCAAATTTGCATTTTGTGATTATTTGACAGTCACCCGCAGTAAATAACATACGTAAGACGACTATAAAAGGAGGTATTGTTGAAACTTTATCAGTTGATTGTCGATTTCAAATTGTAATGGCACCTAAGAAATCTGAATTCCGATTTCGTTGAAGAAAAAAAATTGTTTCTCTGCGTGAAAATGGCCTAAGTTATCGAGAAATAGGTAAAAAGTAAATGTTTGCTTCTCTCGTTCGATATATTATAAAACGTCATAAAGAAAGAGGATATACATCAAATAACTTGCGCTCTGGACGTCCAAAAAAAACTTTCACTGCAATTGCGAAATATCATAAGAGAAGCATCAAAAAATCCATTTGTTAGTGCATTACATTAGCCAATGATGTCCTTCAACATCTGGAGTTCAAATCTGTGCCCAAAGTGTTCGAAATGTCCTGCATGATGCAAAATTTATGGGAGATCTCCAAGGAAAAACCTCTCTTAACTGAACGGAAATAGACTGAAGAGACTTGAATTCGCTAAAGGAATATATCGAAAAGCCATTTGATTTCGGGAAAAAATGTCATATTCTCCGACGGGGTAAGTTCAAATCTTTAAATCAGATGGCAGGAAATTAGTTTGGAGAAAACCTTGTACTGTTTTTTCATCCCAAAAAAATTGTGTTACCTACGTTAAACATGGAGGAGGTTCTGTTATGTTTTGGGGGGTGCATGGCTAGCAAAGGTTGGCAATTTGTTGTTTCATTGATGGGAATATGACAGCTCGAACCTATATTGATGTGTTGCGAGATAACTTGCCACAAAGTGCAATAAAATTGGGTATCAGTAATTCGTACTATTTTAAAGCAAGACAATGATCCCAAGCACACTGCCGGATAACACGTATGTGGTTGTTTTTATCATGTCCCCAAAAAACTTGCCACTCCACCCAATCACCAGACTTAAATCCTTTGGAAAATTTGGGGAATTCTGTGGATTTAAAATAAGAAAAAGGAAGATTTCAAGCAATCTCCCCTTAAACAAGCCCTTATTGAAGAGTGGTCGAATACTGACGCTACTGTTACAGAAAATTTAATTAAATCAATCCCAAACAAGATTACAACGGTAATAGATGCAAAAGGAATGTATACAAAATTTAGTTATTTAAAATTTTCTTATATATTTTATTTCTTTTGTATTCATGCAGGTGTGCAAATACTTTTTTGACACGAGATTTTAATTCTGTTATAAAAAAGCATTGTTATTTATCTTATTGTAATTTTTCTGTTTGTTTTGGATGATTAAACTTATTCTGATTTGGCAATACCAATTTTTTTTATTTCTTAATGCTTCTTTTTATGAATTGCAAACAAAAATGTAGGTGTGCAAATACTTTTTTTGCGCACTGTAAGTTCCTCCATTTGAATGTTTTTGTCTGGCGAAAAATTGTTGAGATGCTTCAAGTATAAGGAGAAATAATTACCAGTAAGTTTTGTCCAACAAATACAATTTTGTTATTAACATTTCTTCATGGTGTAGTAATTTTAATGGCCAAAGGTGTATTTAATATTTTAAGAATTCGATGACAAAATTAACTATTAAATTTTTAAAAAGCCCAAATAATAAAAAAATATCAAATACATACGGTTTATAGATGAATAAATATTAAAACTTTATTAAATTTTCAGCATTTCTAAAATCGACATATTACATTAAATGAGTATATTATCAATATAATAGGAATGTGAATATAATATAAAGTAAATAACATTCATTTAAAACAATAGACGATGAATATGAAAATATATCGAAACCAATTCGCAAAAATCTACTTTTGGGTTAAACAAATTTAGAACGAATCGAAATTTCTAGAATAAAGATTTTCGGAACTCAAATAGAATAATCTAGAAGATATCTTTATTTTTTTTAAGAAACAAAGAAAAAATAACGAAATACAAATATATATTGCAAGTAGAAGAATTCAATATTTAAAGTAACTCGTTTCTTGACATTCCTTGTCTTAAAATATTCTAAGCCTAAAAAGAATTCTATTTTTTTTATTCGAAACAAGATAAAATAGAATATTCGCCGAGATAAGAAAGTTTACTTTTGGGAAATCCGTAGATTTTCTCTGGAAATCACTTGACGTTGATACTGAGTGGGAGGATTTTCAACATTCGCGGTTGATTACACTTTCTCGAGGGAGAGGATGTACAAAGAAAGACTGTTTTGGAATTCGAATCGTAAGTTTTCCGATAGAAACAATGACATTTTATCTCAACAAAAGATCCGGCGTGCATTGAAACGTGTTTAGAAGACGAAGAAGAATTTAACGATCGCTACAGTTCCTTTTAATTCGATTTTTAGAATGTGCATGAAATACATCATATGCACTCGGGTTCGAATTTTTTTGAGATTCCCAAGCGCTGAAAATATTCTAACCGTATTGCAGGATTTGAAATCGTTGCTATATATTTCAGGGGAATAATTCTTCAGATTTATGTTGAATATTTTATTTCAGTAATATTTCTCATTTCTAAGCGAATTCAATACTATTCTTTACAATTGCTGCCAAGAAACAGAGGTAAAATAACTGTCGAATGTTTAATGACGTCATCGAGCCTTTAATACATAGCCTTATTTATCTAGATTTCAAACGGAGCACAGTTAATTATTTTTTTCAATTTCTACTATTATTTCACACTCTTCTTATATATATATATCTTGTTCAAATTTTCAATCGTTAATAAAATACTTTTTATTCATCCATTCAAGTTCAAATACATTTTTTTAAACTTGTAGTGGATGACACTTGATGTTAATACAGTTTTTTAAAAATATTAATCCATTAATTCCATTTAATTAATTAATAAATAGTAACAAACAAAAAGTAATAGTCCAACACTCTATATAAAAAGGAAAATCACTCGCTGTGTCCCTGTAGCGCAGTGGATAGCACATTGGACTTCTAATCCAAAGATCGTGGGTTCCAATCCCACCTGGGATGGCCTTTCTGAGAATGTCATTTCTTTTTACTATTCTATTTTAATGGAATATTTAAATTTAAATAATGAATAAAACAAAAATAATATAGTTGAACACCATATATAGAAAGGAAAATCGCTTTCTATTTTGACACTTAATATTATGATTCTGTCTTATGTATATACATATTTATACTAATTGTAATTACTTTTATCAAAAGTAACTAAAATAAAAAACTTTTTTGTTGACCTAAGTAGGAATTGACTTAATTTTTTTTAATATTACTTCTTAATAATCAAAAGCATTCCTATCTTGTGATTTGAAATTAGTTGTGATTTTATTAGTATTAAATGAAAAAGTTTTTCTTTTTTTAATGAACTAAGTTTAAATGACGTCATAGTTGCATAACTGTAATCACGTGTCCCCATTCAATGGGTTAAATTTATGATGGTCACGTGATAAAAGCAATCACGTGTTCTTCATTGAATTCGAAACAGATATTAAATTTACTTTTACTTAGTTGTTCTACGAGTATTTGTAAAATTTAGATAAAATTTCATATTATAGAATTGCGTATAAAAATCTGCAATTATTATGAAAACAAAATTCACCAAAAAGATATTAAATAAACAAAATCTTATTTAGCCCTTTATCTATTGCATTATGATTTCCTGTAGTTTTTCATGTAATTTTTTTTTTTTTTGAATCACTACATTGAAAATTAAGGGATGCACATAAGCAAAATACTCAACTTAGGGATATTAATTAAAGATATTCAACTGTAAAATTAATTATTCTTACTGTTTACTTAAAATAAATAGTCAAATCGTTTTCTAAGGTCTTCATTAACATACAAATGAAAAAAAATAAGACACTTAGATTTTGACATTAAGTATTTTTTTGGAACAAAAATGGCAATCTTCGCCATCAGCTGAAAACGCAATTTCTGTTATAGAACTATTCGCCTTTTCCGCTAAAGTGCTCATCATAGAACCCGTCCTGCCATATATCTTGGAAGAGTGGATTTAGAAAAATATTCTTGCTAAGTATCGTCGCAGTATTCGTAAAAATGATTATTATATGTCATTTTAAAGTGAGTGGTACTTATAAGTACCGTTGGTATAGATAAAGGGTTAATACGTGTACTTTTTTAAATCAAGTCTATTTTGCTTGTTTATGTACGTTATTGTTGACAAGTATGTGATTTTAAAAAGAAAGTTTGTACTGTACTGTGCCAAGCATATGTTTAAAATTTAAAGAAACAAAACAAATATATTTGTACAATTCTTAAAACATTAAAAACAATATTTTAAAAATAAAAAAATAAAGCGTTACAGTACTGATACATTGTACAAAGTTAAGAACAAAATCTTAAATAAAAATGTAAGAATCCAATCTAATGGTGAAAAGCAAATCGATTTTTGTGTGAGAGTTCCTCCACTAGGTTAGATAAAGTTAAAATTGATGGTTTAAAAAGAAATGTAAAACTAGGATTACGAAAAACACCTGGCAGCTTGATTGATTGAATATTAACGTCGCACTGTTCAGCTACACGAGGGCTTTTGGCGACGGACCACGTAATTTTGAGCTATGGTCAAGTGACGTGGACGACACCTGAGCCGGCACCCCCTCTCGTAACTATCACACCACACCGAAACACCTGGCAGCTTAAACACCAAGACGCTATGCTTATTAAATGAAATGTATGTATACGTATACAGTAAAACCTGTTTTTGTGTGGAAGATAGGAACCGCATAAAAAGAAACAGCACATAAAAATGTTGGAAAATTTCATAAATACTTGCATATAACAAACAACTTTGTCGACATACTACATATTTTTTTTCTGTGGCGGAGAAAGACCGCATAAAAAAAGTCGCACTTAGAAAAACGTCAATTATTTACGAAATACACGAGAAAGGGCTTCCACAAACAAAATAAAAAATTAAATTTGTGACGGGGCTTTATCGTGCCTTCTCACTAATCCGTGTGGGGAATCTTTGGGGCCAGAATGGCATTTCAATCCAACCTTCTCAAGAAGAAACCGCGATATGCAGATTAGTGAACAATATGCAAGGGAGCTTTAGCATTCGCGAGTTAGTTGAATAGAAGCCGAAAAGTTGAATAAGAGCGGAATAGATGTCAGATAGCAATAGAATAATAGGGGAAGAATAGAATACAAGAAGAGACAAAAAGCCGAGGGCTACTCGCCGTGAAATATTGGTAAGAGATTAATGATAGAGTGGACTTAAGCTTATTAAGGAATCTCCAATAGATAAAGATTCTGTGGTTAATTTCTCAAGAAGATAGCGAGTAGGATTTCAGGAGCTATTTTACTTAGAATTGATAATTACGTAGTATCACTCCTGATCAGTCCCCTCTAGTAAGATTTATGTAACGTAGCTCAATATATATTTAGACATTAATAAATTAGATTTATTATGGAGAATTTGAGTGGTCAATCATTTATTCCTACAAATCTAGGTCGCGTGGATGAAGAGATAATACCCGCGGGGTATCATAAATTAGACATGGAAACATTTTAAAAGCATTTAATTTTTCATTGTAAGAATGGAAAAGTTTTCAAAATGCACTGCTACTCGACGTAATCAAAGCGCTCATGAATTTTTGCACCTGTGATGAATCAGTTCAAAATCGCTTTCGTCACTTGAAGATACAATTTCAATTGATTTCTTTTTTGGCACCATAAAGTAAGAGATAAGTTTTTGTCTCGACTGTCAGTTGGTCAGTTGCTTGTAAACGTCACGACAACCAGATATGCATGATGGAAGCCTTTTTTTTTTGAATTTCTAACTCCTTTCGGAATTAGTATTTATTTTAGCACGTTCGTTGTCACTGACGCGCTGAAGCGTCCGCATGGTGCTAACTCGTATGCCGGTACCGTTCTGGGACGACGATCAACTATTGATAATATATATGCTTTATTCTGAGTGCGGCTCTTGAGGATGTACGAGTATATATCAATTTTACTGGCAGTAAATGTGTTAAGGCTGTGTCTTCGGTAAAAGTACGAGAGCTTGAACTAAACTCAAAGCACATTTTCAGACAGAAAAATACCTGTTAACAATATAGTGTTTTTAAGAATTTCAAAATATTCCATGAATATTATCTTTTTTGTTTTAATAATTGAAGGCGTAGCCCATTTAACATTACTATATAGGAGAAAAAACACGAAACACATTTTATACCAGAAAAAATGAATCAACTCTGTTAAAAATGGGAAGTATGAAAAAAAAAAATACTGCTCTTTAAAGGATAGTGAAGCCAGAATATCATATTAATTTTTTATTTCTTTTATGTCTGAAAAAATGTTCCAAATTGGGGTCCTATTCTTTAACATTAACCGAAAACAGCCTTAAGGAAATTCTTTTCCGATTCGTTAGAAAGCCGAATCCCAGCATATATTTTATTCGCTCTCAAAGAATCCGGTTCTTCCTGCCCTTCTTCGTAATTTATCAAATTATTGATAACGTCACTGTAATGGACAGTTTTGTCTTCAATCAAGCGCCTGCTGCAAGCGCATTGAAAGCAACTGAACGTGCATTGTCCAGAGACTGTTTATAACGAATGAAGTGCATATATGTACATTGGCAGAAAACATTACACAAGCGCCAAAACCTTTGAAAATCAAACACCACTTAAAAAATGATCTCACTAAGATATCACACGAAAATAAAATCGCATAGAAACAGGTTCTACTGTATTTATTATATAGAACCATGTGTTTTCTTCAATATTCAGATATAAATCTTTACATGGGTGTTAACACATGTTGTGCGTTACTATAATTTCAAAAAGGTTAGGTTTAACCTTTATATCATGACGAAAACAAGACCCTCTTTGAATGGCTAAATAAATGCATATATAAATAAATTATAATTTAAAAAACTAAAAAAACACGCGTACTAAAAAGTAAAAAAAAATTCTTAATATAGGAATAAAATGATTAACGAGAAAATTAATGTCATTGTGGTAAAAGCGTGAGGTGCTCTATATTAATTGTTATTATTTCTTACTAGTTCTATTCCCCGAAATGCAGAGTTAGTGTAAAAATGTAGTACAAAGCACCTCCCGATTTTACCACAATGACATTAATTTTCTCGTTATAATCATTTTATTCCTATATTAAGAATAATTTTTTTACTTTTTAGTTCGATTCACACTATAAACGCGTGTTTTTTAGTTTTTTTTAAACTATAATTTATTTGTCATTTTTCAGTTCGATCTGTAATAAAAGCCTGTTTTTTAGTTTTTAAAACTATCATTTATTCTTTGTTGAATTTATCCTTGAATTTGATATTTGGAGCCGGAATTATGTGGCTGCTGGAATTAGTCTTGCTCTTCAATGAATATTAATTAACGGGTCTGAAGGGTATTTATTCTGTCCGTTTACGGGGGCTAGGATGAGTCCCATATCCTTATATTTCAAAGAATAAGGCTCTATAGGTACAGGTTTAACTAATAAAAGTGTGTTAAGAAGAAATATTAAATGTCAATCATATTATCACCTCTTAAAATTGCTATAATGTCAATTCGTATCATCCCTCTAAACGTATTGCTTTATAAAAATCAAAAATAAAAAATATTTGGCAGTAAGAACGTAAAGTATTATTATTATTCACACGCACGAATTTTTTTTACTTCCATTTTCAGAAAAACTACGCACCCACCCAACCCTTTTCCACATAAAGAACACTTTTTTAGTTTTATTTGTATTTACCACAAGCCTATTTGCGTTTTAGGGTTGCGCCTTAATCTTTTAGTCGCTAAATTTGGAATTAGTCGACAAATCTGAAAATGGTTTTTCGCGATTAGTCGCCAAATCTGGAAACTATATAATGAATTAGTCGCCAAATCTGGAAACTATATAATGAATTAGTCGCCAAATATCGAAATTCTTATTTTTGAGGATCCTAATCAGGACAATGAAACAAAATTATTAAATTATTGTATTGTCATCGATCCTTGACAAGTGTGCAAAATTTCGAATTAATCTGACCT